CCCACGTAATGTATTTAATGCTGACTGTAGCAGCTGGTGTCTCATGTGCAACAGCACTGAAAGCATAAAATTAGATTACATATGAAACTGTCATGTTTCTACGAATTATTAGTAACTTTTCTATGGATCTGATTCATTCAATAACTAGATTACCCAATTATAGACTAATTCATGAAAACATTATACAGTTATTCCAAAGGCTGTATTTCACAAAGTAAAATTAATAATCTACCTTTTATTTAAACAAGTCGAGTAAGAGATTTTCAGATTCTGGGTTTGCAGACTTTTTGATTAATTTCATCACGATCCATATCACTTTAAGCATCGTGGAAAATCAACAGGTAATGGACGCCCAATTTGTCCAGGTTTGAAACTTTTCACTAGTGTGCACCCGTAACTTGACTAGAACCTTTGGATTACTAGGTGAACCCATTCGGCCATCGGACTGGAACCCGACAACCAGTGGATTCTCGACGGATGTCCTTAAGCTCTAATGGGAAGTCATGTTCAATGGCAAGTGAAGTGGACGTCTACCAGTGGCATTAGTCAGAGGTGGAGCTATATCATAATTCGACAGAAATTAGGATTCACTGGTCAATCAACTCCAAAGAGGTGACTGAATGGTTAGAAAGTTGTTTTCACTGCATCGTCCCTTACTGTTTTTCTCCAAATTAATAAAATTTATTCTGCATTTGTATCTCGATCACTAGACAATTATATGCTTTCAAGAGATAAAGTAATCCATGAAATGTACTAACTGAATATTCGAGGGTTAAATAGCATTATTGACTGATCGGAATAAAATTAAAGATGTAATGATTTACACACACACACACATAAATACATATACGAATCTGATTTCTTTCACGATATTTTATCCTTATATCAAATAAGAGACTTAAATTAGTTTAAAACCTTTATAATCATGTATATATATGAAAGAATTATTATAAAGTGTCAAACAGGACCAAGATATTAGCAATATCAATTTATAGTTGCATTTTCATTAGACACTAGTAACTAGTGTGACGTGCCTAGTCCTTTCTTTGGTGCAGACCTAATTCTATCAGTCAGGTTTGCAATGTAGCCACCATTCTAGGTAGCTCGCCATCACAGTGCACATTGAATTTATGGTTGTGCTGAAAGAAAACAATTATTTCATGATAATCAGCATACTTATCTAACTACAATAAAATAAATAGATCATGAATTAAATCAAAGTCGCAACTTGAAAATTAATTCACGATCTGCAATTTACACAGATGGAGTTGAAATGCCACCACGGTTTACTTTGGAAACACAAACGTCTTTACAGGGTTGCATGATTATGGCCATAGGGTTTTGTGAACATCAGAATAATACAAATGAGCACAGTAGTATAAACTATATCATACTAAAAACAATAAACTTAACAAAAATATTTTAATTGAATTTTTTTAAAGATATGAAAAAATCAGCCTTTTCTACTAGGCGTGTCTCTGTCTAAACTCTTGTGTTAGATGGTGCAATATCGTCAGGAATGATGAAGTTAGACACACAGTATTAGGTGGGAAGCTCAGGTCAGTCGATGAGGTTATGGACCTTCATCAACTAAGGTGTTTAGAACATCTGTTACGCATCTCAGACTATTGCCTTCAGCAACTACCAGTGTTAGCTAATGTAAGACTTGGGAGTGGTCAGACGAAAGCATAGCATCAGTTAATGCAGTCTTCGATTGTCGGTCTGAGCCAGGTAGAGAAGTGTAGACTACCTGCCTGGTTTTCTTGGTATATTCAGAATCAATGATTGTGGACTGTTGGTGATATGGATTCAAAGGTTTTTCAGGGAGGTGTAAATGCATTTACTCCATATCATCTTACAGGCTTGGAAAATCCTCATAATTCTTGATATACATTTTCGTTTAGCAAAAGAATGGATACTGAACAAAGAGTACTCTTTTCGATAAATTCATCATCAGGCTCTACAGTTACATATACATTATAGTGAATGAATGAGTTAGTGTTATGAACGACATTAATGTTTAAATAACATCAAATCAATAATATTGATAGATTACAGATGAATCGTATCAACATGAAATAAGCTGAATGTCAGAAAAATTAGGAAGGATAATATTACAAATTCATGAATTTATAGTTTCTACTGAAGACCACGGCCAGGCATTTATTCTCACTAGCTTTATGTGTGCTTTTTATTAACTGTGCCAACTTGGAATGATGCACTTTTATGCTAAATTGTATCTGAATAAATCAGATTTAAAAGACGTCCCTAAATTTTTATTTTTTTAAAAACTTTTTGATTACAGCTTGATTCCACAGTGTATTAAGGTCATAGGTGTTTATTATTTTATTTGTATTTTCAATTGACAAATGAGAATTTAACATTTGGTGTGTTCTACCTTGGGAAAAATTTTTTCGCTAAAATGATGCTTTAGAATAAAACTGAAAAACGTTACAACACATAATGAGCTTCCGTTTTAACATTCAGACATTAATTCGTCGGTTCGAAAAGCACATTAGTGAACAAAGAGTATAGATATTAAATATTGAAGACAAGTATCAGGATATTAAATAACAATTGGCCTCAGACATACATAATATACTAATATTACATCCCTGTGTTTTTGTAGAATTTGAAAAAGCGAAACAGAATGATATTATTAATGCAAATTATCATCTTCGTTAAAAGTGTGCGAAATTTTTATTTCACAAGTTACAAATAAGTAGCTTTTATGCATATACATAAACATATTTTCAAAAAATAATGGTCATTTCAATGATTACTCTTCTTCTGATAATGATAATGCTAATAAAAAGCAAGGATTCATGCGCAGTACAGAAATTCAAACAATTTATAACTGTCGTCTTGTGTTCTGATAAATCGAAAGAGTGAATCACATAGTCGGTTATCAATAAATGATAAAAGAAGCATATAGGACAAAAAGGATGGACGAACTTAGCCTTGTGAAGTCAAAAAAATAAATATCAAATCCAAGAAGAAAATAAAACACTTAATAGCAAAAATCATAACCGTATTAGACAGAATCCCCTTTGAATTATAAGTCTAATTATTGGTTCATTAACTACTCTAACTGCTTTTCAAGCATATTTTTCTATTATACTAACTGCTACTAATAGTACTACTACTACTAATAATAATAATAACAGTAACAGTAGTTCTCTTTTGTTTTGACACCATTTATATGCGATAATCACTTAGATCACTTGGGATTACACGGGTTATCAATCAGTCTCAAAGAACAATGAGCATTTAGTTACACGGAACAACTAAAATAGATAAAAGGATAGCGTGCAGATAATAGTGAGGGGGATATCAACAATATAACTTCTAACCACACTTCAACAGTGACCAATATTTTCAAACTTTCTTTGTTGTGTTATAAAAAGTAGGATGATTACAAGTTTCATATATGACTTACTTTTCAGACTAATGATAGTGAGTAAAAATTTTGTTGAAGGATAGATATCAAGGTTACGTTTCTGTGGTTGATTGGTATAAAACCATTTGTAAAGCAAATATAAAGCGAAATGTATTATAAACACATTTGAATAGAGTACAACATGAGAAGCAAACACTAATGAATATGATGATGATAATGACTATAGAAGTAGTGAAAATAAGTATATGAATAATAAAGAATGTTGATACAACAATAATAATATGGGTGGATGTATGCTAACATGCTTTCACTATAAAGTACTCACAATTACATATTATGTGTAGATGTCATACTGTAAACATTCCCATACTAGTCAAATGTACAACATAGCGTAGATTACAAAACGAGTACAATCACAATATTTCTTTTTACAAAACGTGAAACAACTTACTTCACTTAACTATAAAATACACAGGCGTATACTTAGTATTTAGTGTTACATAAACAATGTATAATTATTCATTGAATAATAGATGTAACAGGGGAACAAATATTTGATTTTTTTTAAACAGTCGAATTTCTTAAGAATATTAAGTACTAGTGCAGATAAACAAATAAACAGATTCGTTTATTATGCAAAAAGTTATATTTAGCACATACCAAATATATAATACCAAGGTTATCAAAACATCGTATGATCAAACACTGTGTGAACCACAAAAATGATAACTTCATAAGCGTTATAATATCAAATAAATTTATATTTGTAAAATCTTATAGAAAGTGAAATGAGTAGTTCCAACGTTTCCTTTCGGCAAACTCGTTCAAAATTCAGGGAAATTAATCGAGATTAAAGTAACAAAGGTTTATTTATTAAAAGGACATCTCTTGTTTCTAGAATGTTTGTCCAATCATATGAGTCGTGAAACAGACATCGAAATGTAATAAACAAAATTGCATGAACTGTGATCAAAATTTCACCCCAGACTTGCAAATATCATCGGGAGTTGATTTGTAAGTACTTGGTTTGTTTTTCGAGTTTGAACACGGATTGACATCAGTCAGAGAACCATTGAAAACCAGGGAGTACTGAATCGAGTCCCAGTGGCTAAATAGTATACAAGCTTGTCTATTAACTATCATACTGCATGCTAGTTCATCAATGCACCCATAGAACAGAACCACACCTTTATTATACAACCAACTTATTTTTTCTGAATCTTAAGGTATAGAAAAGTTCATGGAGTGTACATCCAAGGTGATGTGATAAGAATACACTACACTATTCAGAATCACATCAAAAATTAGAAACTAAAGATTTGTTGACAGAAATTCAACAATTTATGCTAGAATTTCTTCTAATAAAATTAAAAAGTGTCCGTAATGAAACAAAATAAGCGCTGACGTTTGGAATTCATTCCACAGTTTACACTTACACCCAAAAAATGCTTACACACATTTGGGTTTATATTTCTTAAATATTATAAGGGTTAGAATACATCTTTAAGAAATATAGTATTCGGTAGACATGTGAAGTAAACAAATGATACAGAGGTGACTTTAACACATACACATATACAAATTAAAAAGCATAACTTACCATGGTACTTTGACGTGGTCGTTCGATTTTAGAAAGCTTTAAATAAGTTGACAAGTTATTCATGAAACTCCTATCAGAGAAGTTTGAAAAAGATAAATGTAAATTTATATAGCTGATTATCATCGTCAATACTAAAAAATACAAACCAATCATAGAGATATCCAACATAATTTAAATAACTGCATTAAATATCATTAAACAACAGTTTGCATACATTGTCAGTCATGGCATGGATATCGTAGTGACAAAGCTTTTAACCTAATAATTAAACACCATTAATCTTAGTCTGAGAGGGAAAATATATTTTTCCTCAAGGTTGTAAATGTGTCTTGCTCGTGAGAGTAACATGAATCAAATTTTGCGTTACACAACGCCACCTGACAGTTTGGTATCCTTTTATTAACAAAATTAATTTCTGAGTATAAATTCATTCTATTTTAAACAAAATCAAATCGTATGTGCATTAATCTATTTATTCTTATCTTAGCTATTACATTAGGTGACTTTGAAGAATGTCATGACCTGCTAAATGTCATTTGCGCTAAATCACGAATTGGTAGAAGTTGGAATTCATGGGCCATTGAATCAGGTCCCAGTGACTGGGTAGTATACGAGCTTGCCTTGTAACCGGAAGGTCCTGAGTTCGAACCCCAGTGGGTGCGTACTGCCGATGATTCCCAAACTAGAATGAAACATCTGTCCAGTACTCCATGGTTTTCAATGGTTCTCTAACTGATATCAATCCGTTGTCAAACTCGTAAAAACAAATTTAATCCTTTCAAACTAACCCTTGAAAATAATTTAATCGTAAATTTAAATAAAACGAGTAAAATTTTTAAAATTTCAAAGTAACATTTATAATTCTCTGTAGAAATATTTGTTCATAGAGGAGTGCAAATATTTACTTACAAAATGGAAGGGGAAATACACATGTGGCGTTATCACAGATACGAAGTTACCATACACGTATGTTGAATTAATTTCTGACAGATAATTTGTTGGCAATGTCATCTTGAAGCCAGTCAGTATCACGTAATAGGCTGGTGTATATTCTAAGCAATCTTATGAGGACTGAATGTTACCTTATTTTATGGAGATTATCTGAGTCAGCTTTTTTGGCTTTCTTTTGCGTTCGGTGAAACATAGGGCTTCCTAAAGCTTCAAGTTTTGATGTTTTAATAGGGGTAGTGTTGTTTTGTAAGAAGCGAATTGGCTGGCTTCACTCCCAACCTTCCCTCTTTTCTTTCTGGGCTCATTACATACTGGCATAGGTGTAGCAGAGCACTGAACGGGAACAAAACCCCAACTACGTGCATAGTTCGTCAGGATCCCATCCGTGAACTAGGTGTAGCAGAATGTTGTTACTGCAATCATACGCTGATTTAAATTAAAACCAAGGTTTACTGAACCAACAAGTCTTCATATTTAATTACATGCACTGATATTATGATACAATTGGGCAGATTAGAAATAAGTGTTCCAAGTGAATATATTTCGTTAGTTGCAGTTTATACCAACACAATAAATCGTAGGAGAGTTCAGTAACATTTTGGCATGACATTCATTACCATTGATCAACTAGTGAATAAGAGTTTTTACTATAGCCTCTTAGTAACACCTGCATAAAATACAAATTATTATGGGTTATTTTTAAGTGTTAACATGCACATCTATGATTTATGCCAATAATTTAGATATCATAATTACTTCTGTATGTTCTAAACGCATTGATCTCATTTTAAGTAGATGAAGTAAGCGCAATGCGCATAATAAGTGTTTCTGTCAAATTCATTGTCCATGTAGATTAATGATAAATATGTTTATGTAAGCATAAGGTTTCAGTTGGCTACACTATAATTAGTAGCCAGAAAATATATTACATCTTGTGGTGAAATGTTAAATTTGCTGGGCATAGAAATCAAAATGCACTAAAAAGCAAACGAATGTTAAAACCATCATTTTATCCTCTATAATTTCCACTAGGAAGACATTTAGATTCTCACAAAGAATATTTAATTCGTTGACAAATTATTTTCCATAGATTGCTATCCATTCATACCTAATCATATATATATATATATATATATATATATATATATATATATATATATATATATATGATTCACTTAAATAATTGATTTTCAGTTTAAGAAATATTTCCATGATGTCGGGTCATTTATTGGCATACATTTTAATATTATTAAATGCCAGTTAAAATGTACGAATTTATTATGCCAAAAGCTATGTTCTGTATTTCGACTAGCCTTCGGGATTGATACTCCTTCATGTAGGTTATCTGGAAACGAAAAATGTTGAATTTTTCACAGACATCACTTTGTAGGAAACTCTAAAAGAATAAGGTGCACCCAAAAATTCCTTCTTTCTATCTGTCTCTCACCATAGCAACATCTATCTCTTTCCTTGTCGAAGAGATGACAGTTATGACAACCTAGTATTGGATTATATACGCAGACAGACAAATGAGTGATATCTATTGTAGCTATCACCTTTTCATCTGGTCAGGAATTTTTACCTAATTGACAATAAACATACAAAAGTTTTCAAGTGTAAATCAAGTTTGCGGTTCGTGTAATTCGGGTTGAAATTCCACTAAATTTTCCTTGGGAAACCGAAATCATTAAGGTTACAATATGTGGTCTGCTTGATACCATGAACCGCAATCAAAAAAGTAGGCATAAATGAACACTATATTTTACTGACTGGTTGGTATAAGCAGTTGAGTACAACCCACTAACATCAACCAGTCAGTGTCATGAATTACCAAATATACTTAACCTAATGGAAAATTTGGTTAGCTTAGTGTAAGGCAAGCATTTTACTTCAGAAATATTAAGAAGATAATTACAGCGAAGAAAATTTTCTTTTCGACGAAGTCATCATCTAGGCTGTACATTGGTGTATTTATACCAAATGGATGGGAAAGTTCCAGAATAATTTCCGGTTAAGGGTCAAATTAATAAAAATTACAATTAGGAATTGGAATGCCATAATAAAAAGGGGGACGGGTAAAACAAACAAAGTAGCATCATAATAACTAAGAAGATTGACATTGTGCAATTAGGGGTTAGAAACGTAGAAATAACAAAACAGACAGGATGTTTGGATAAAAAAAACTAATGTGATGAATAACTGTTTATTTAATCAGGGATTAAATATGTAGAAATAGTAAAATGACAGCGAGGAAGTAGCTGAAGAAGAACTGCGTAATCTCCGAAAAACCCTGATGGAAAACGGTTTCCCGCCCAGGTTCATTGACAAGAATCTCAAATCTAAGAAGACTTCCGAACAAGTCCAATCCGTTCCAAAGAAAATACTTCTGCTTAATCTAGAATTCAGAGGTGATATTGGAGCAGGAATCCTTCGTAAACGCCTCTCCAAATTGCTGAGGAAAACATACTTCGCCGCGGGCCTACGACTGACGTTTTTCTGCAGGAAACTGTTCAGCCAGAACGCGAAAGACAAGCTGTCGCACTGGGCCACCTCACCGTGCATATATCAATTTACTTGCTGTTGTGGAGCTGAGTAAATTGGCCGTACCATGCACCAACTTGAAAAACGCGCTCATGCACACTACCCAGCCTGGTTAGTAAAAGGAGATCATAAGCGTGTATACAGTTCAGTGACAGAACATCTGGTCAATTCAGGACATTCAGCGCCTTTCGAAAAATCCTTCAAAGTAATATACAAGATTCAGTTAAACCTATCAAATGGAGTGAAACTAAGACATCTGGGCATAGGCGAGGCGCTAGCTATCCAAAAGCACAAACCCACGCTTTTTATCCAAAAGAAATACGTCCAACCCCTGTCCCTTCCATGGCCATCATAAACAGGTATTTTTTGGTAATGACCATCACATCGCCTTTCTTATCTAAACTTCCTGTTTATTCATGTTATTTTTTTAAATTTTTCTTAATCCCTGTTTACACTACCATATTTTCATTCCCAAACTTCGTGTTTATTTTGTCATTTTACTATTTCTACATATTTAATCCCTGATTAAATAAACAGTTATTCATCACATTAGTTTTTTTTATCCAAACATCCTGTCTGTTTTGTTATTTCTACGTTTCTAACCCCTAATTGCACAATGTCAATCTTCTTAGTTATTATGATGCTACTTTGTTTGTTTTACCCGTCCCCCTTTTTATTATGGCATTCCAATTCCTAATTGTAATTTTTATTAATTTGACCCTTAACCGGAAATTATTCTGGAACTTTCCCATCCATTTGGTATAAATACACCAATGTACAGCCTAGATGATGACTTCGTCGAAAAGAAAATTTTCTTCGCTGTAATTGTCTTCTTAATAACTTCTTTGACCCAATGTGTATATTCCTAACTAATACGCGATATAACTAAGATCAAAAGCAGATTATATGAATCCTTTCAATACTACACCTTCAAGAATTGTTTCAAATATAGTACAACACATGATTACATTCGTTTCTGAAACCAGTTATTTGATCCCACTTAATAGTGTGAACCTCTGAAAATACAATAGCCAATGAACCACTAAATAGCCTAAGTGATTTAAGTCACTTACAACGGGCAAAACAAAGATGTAGCCCAGTTTATTATCCACGTGTAGAATGTCACTAATTAAAAGTTGGATATCAGGTTAAAAGTTTTCTCATACGCCTGTTTTTCTTAGCAGTGACACTAATTATAAGCTAAGAATTTTAGTATCGTTAAGATAAACAAATTCAGATCAAGGAGAAGTGTAAGACTAGGGGTCATTTTCAATTCTACTACAGGACAGTATCATTTTGAATAACGGTTTGAAAACAAAAGTGCTGGATAGCTGTTTCATTCTTCTCCAGATTTTTCAGTAGTGCACATAATACAGTGCATGTAAAAGTGAATCTCACTCAAAGTAACCTATTTGACAGACACCATTTTCGAATGTATTGGTTGGTATTCTTGTAAATTCACAGTCCACTGTATTCAATGCTTAGTTCCATTCAAACTCTGTATTTGTTACAACTTCTCGTAATTACTGTAATTTTACAACTAATCACCAAAAAGTAGCTTTTTGCTTTCTTTTGGAAGTCTGAGTGGAATATAAAATGCATCGAGCTATCGAGTTTTAGTAGTGCTAATGTTTTTAAGGGGTGTGGCAGCTAGCTTCATGCCTGACCTCCCCTCTTTTTCGGATTCGGGAATGTATCGGCCTGGAATAGACCCCGAACCACATGCGCGCCTGGTGGGCATTCTACCACTGACCCACCAACTCCCTTAAAACCAGAAGGTTCTGAGTTCGAGCCCCCGTGGGTGCGTACTGATGAAGAGTCCCAAACTAGGCTGGCGGAACAGCTGTCCAGTACTCCCAGGTTTTTCAATGGTTCTCTAGCTGATGTCAGCGCATGATGAAATCCTCCAACCCAATACAGAATCATTATTTATCTGACTGATTTGTAGGAAGCAGAATAATTCCATAGTTGAGTTTATTACGAATTTCTAATTAATTTTGATGATAATGATTCTACTACTACTACTACTACTACTACTACTACTACTACTACTACTACTACTAATAATAATAATAATAATAATAATAATAATAATAATAATAATAGCGATAATACTAATAAAGGTTACTAAACAAAATAATCGTCTCAATAAATGACAATAAATTGAAAAGAAAACCGGTTTATGTAGATAAACATTTACTAAAAAACAAAGTTTACCAAAAAGACTTACGATCCACGCAGCTGAACAGCTTGGTCGAAATCAAAATTTTTCATTGCTTCAGCAACTTGACGTGTCTAGAAGACATAAAAACAAAACAAAACAGAAAGAAAAATAGTTTTGTTCTCAATAAGAGTAGAAAGTCGAAATCACAGAAATGTGTAATTGGTCGTCTTGATGAAGTTTGAGATTTTCTTCATAATTACAAGTTAACTAACGAATTTTCACAGCTCATAATATTTTTTCATCGAATTATACGTTTCCTATTTGAATGACTAATTTCCAATAGTCTTAACACTTCAAATGTCTACTATGGAAATCAATTTATAACTAAACAACAAAGGCGAATATATGAAGTATTGCTGGAATATATATCCTCTATTTACTTCAATATGGAAAGTCACGCAGGCATTGGCGTACTCTGGCAGTTCATTTGAACTTTAGTTTAATAAACTGGACTGAAAGTAAACAGCATTTTGTTGAGTTATTCAAGATACATAGGACTATGAGTGGACTAGTATTTAGGTACATTTATTCTTCTAATATGAAGCCCTATGTTCCACTCGGAACGCAAGGGAATAATAATAATTCTAATGTCTTTAAATGACCTAGCAACATGTCGTTTACCTACATTCTCAAAGTACTCTGTCCTACTAAATACATATTGCTTAGAATTAACCATTCTGTTTTTGATTTAACCAATCAGATGCGTCCTTAAATCAAATTATTTTCTCTCTTGCTTTCTGAAAACATTTCAGCTTATCGCTTCTCTCTTTCCCCACGCATTCTGCTGGTAATATCATAGGATATAGCAACCACCAATGAAGAGTTCAAACATAAATCAAACTTTTTCCCCTAAATTAGTTAGCATAAAACGCAGATTTAGCGGTCATTACCTTTGATTTTATTTGTATAAAGAAGTGGATTTGTTGCAAAAATGACAGCGACGAAAATCCCATTTCGTATAATATCAGTGTTTAGAATAAGGTGATTATTATTGTCAGATTTTAGTGTCAAACGATAAAAATATCTTACCAACGTGAATTACAAACTAGATATACTTCAGAAAATTTTCAGTTTGTTATTGACTGTATGAAAATTATGCTGAATGTATTTCAGGATGATTTATTTATCTTTTAATATGAGATGACCAGTTATCATTCATTCAAGAACTGATTCTCATTCAGAAAGACAAACATTTAAATAGGTTACTATGTCAACCAGAAGCAAAGATGGAATGATTTGCGAGTACTAAACTTTATCATCTGTGAGGTTCCTTTAAATTTATAACGTAAAATCATAGTACCAAATAACTCGATGAACGGTAAGTGTGACAGAGAGTGACGTATTTTGACAAAATGTTTTGCTTTTAAAAAGATAGTGGTTTATATGGATGCGAAACAATCCTGACACGAATAAAAATACACGTAATATGAACGCGATCAAATAAATCCCACCTAAGGTTGATTGGGTGTCCATTGTAGTATGAAAAAAACATGGGAAAAATTACTTTGACTGTCCACCAATTCATATTCGATATAGTGTATAACGACTCAATATGCCTGAGAAATCATTGGTTGATCATGAGTATACGCTGCTGAAGAGTTCTGAAGTGGAATAAGACAGTCATGTAGTACTCCCTGAATTCATATCAATTGATTGGAGACATCTAGAATCTATCTTCAAACTATTCAAATCCTCAACGACTCGACATTTAAAAGTTAATCCATTGGTGGTTAATGAATGGTTAACGAGTGGATTTCCTGGAATTCCATTTACAGGTTGTCAACGGTGGGATCTACAAAGTCAGGTGCTAGGACAGGTAGTCACCGGAGACAATGGATAACAGTGACACTACATCGTAAATTGGGCAGTGGCTGAGTGATAGCGTTCTGCCCATTTAAACTAAAGGAAGTTCATTTAGAAAACGATGGAAAAATGATTAATTTTGACATAACCAGTTTGTATACTAATATTCCCATTATTACAATTCTGAAAGCAGTTAGGAATGAACTGAGCATTGGTTCTGAACTCAAAAGTAGGACTAAGCTCTCGGTTGACGAAATAACACTAGTCGTTCAGTTGCCTAAACTCCACAGTATTCAAATTTCAAAGTAAACTATACAAACGAACGAATGCAGTGGCAATGAGATCACCAATATACCCCAATAGTAGGGGACATATTTACGGACAGTCGGGAACATAAAACTCTCAGAAAGTTTCATCCTATTGCTCGTAGGTTATGGTGGAGATATGTTGAAGTCTGAACATACCCCTCATTTTTCAGGCATATAAACTCAACAGCAGACGGAATCCAAAACACTTTTGAGTTAACAAATGAACAAGGTGATTTGGCCATGCTAGACTGCAGAATAAAATGAAAACAAGATGGTAGGTTAGATATTAGCAATGATAAAAAACCGAAACGCTCTAATAAATGCTTAGGCTTTAATTCATCCCATTCGGAATTGGTAAAGATAGGTTTAATTAAATGTCTGTATTATAAGGCCAAGAGCCTAACTAGTAAACTAGACCCGACCGATAGCTGCTGCCTTGAAGTGGTGGTTGGGCTTGCATATCGCGATGACCCAACAAGCTACACTGACTGGAGTATATGTTCCTGCAGGTCCTACCATGCCAGGAAGGTTGTTAGGATAGCGATTAGACTAAAAGCAGTTACCGGCATCGTGTAAGAATCTTCCTTAGACTATGCTGGGAGTCCGAGGGCTAAGTCGTACTGCTGAAAAACAGGGGTGTAACAGCAGTGAGGTATTTCCATCATATGACCAGCATGCCAACTATGCTGTCTCTCCACTCCGGAGGGAGGGGTTTAGAAAAGGTCGACCCCAAACATTGTACATCCCGACTTACCCTATGGCGGTCCGTACCCGGCAGTAAGTTTACTAATACGAAACAAATCCCAGACACAGGTTCACACAGACCGTGTGTGACCGGCCTCAAGCAGTTGTCCCCTGGGCTCTGCGGTCACGCAACACTTTCTGTTTCAGGTACCCGAAGAATCAATCAACTTCGACAGTCTGGGCAGCTGGGAAGTAACAACCACCCACACACTTCCAAAAGCACACGAAGCTTTCCTGAGCATCATTCCGCTTCACTCACATCACCTTCCTTATCTTGCTTCTCTACTACAGTTAGTACTATTCTGCACGCTGATGAGTCATCTCCACTTCAATCTGTGACCATGAACAACGGTGAGAGCCATAGAAACACCCCAGATAGCCTTTTAAAGCCTCGTCACCAACTTCATATAGGAGCATTTAACGTCAGGACCCTCTGCCAAATCGGACAACAAGCATCACTAGCAAGAACTCTGGCAACTTGAGCCATTGTCTCTATCACACCACCACACATGAAGTCTTTGACAGTTAGTTTGATCCATATACAAGAAGGAAGACAAGTCTTCCTGTGATAATCACAGAGGGATTAGCTTGACTAATATAGTATCTAAAGTCCTAGGCTCAATAATCATGCGTAGACTAAGTGGTGCTCGGGAGTCACAAATACGAGAGAGCCAGGTAGGCTTTAGACCAAGAAGAGGGTGTATTGATCATATCTTCACCCTTCGACAGATTCTAGAACATAGACATTCCTACAGGCGTCCAACAATCATTAGATTTCTTGACCGTAAGGCGGAATTCGATTCTGTCGACCGAGAGGTACTGTGGCGATGCTTGGCTGTAAAGGGAATTCCGAGAAAATACACTGCACTGATTAAGGCACTCTACTCAAACTCAGGCAGCCAGGTGGGGGCTTACGGTGAGTTGTCATCTGAAGTGGTGACAACTAGTGGCGTCCGTCAGGGATGCCCATTATCCCCGTTCCTATACAACTTCATCATAGATGTACTGACGGACTTAACCTTAACTCACTTCAGAGACACGGGCACTGACTTGCTACCAGGGAATAATCTTGTTGACTTAGAATATGCAGACGACATAGCCCTTCTAGGCGAGGACGCTGACAAAATACAGAGTCTTCTGAACACCTTGAGCTGCAATTTACGAATGTTCGGCATACGATTTGCCCCCGCCAAATGCAAGATGATGTTACAGGACTGGACCACACTGACTCCTAGTTTAGAAATAGGGAGTGAAGTGGTAGAGCATGTTAACCGCTTCACTTATTTGGGGAGTACCATCAGCCCCAACGGGTTGATCTCTGACGAAATCTCTGCACGGATACAGAGGGCTATTTTCGCTTATGCCAGTCTACGCCATCTCTAGCTTAGTAGACGTGATATCCGGCTATCGACCAAAGGGCGTGTGTACTGCTCAGTAGTCCGCTCCATCCTCCTTTATGGCTGTGAGACCTGGCCATTGAGAGTGGAAGACATGAAAACGTTGGTTAGCTGTCTTTGATCATAGGTGCCTGAGCTCTATCTTCCGTGTAAAGTGGTATAATAAGGTGAGCAATATTGAGGTTAGGCGTCGAGTTCTAAGCAAGGAGGGGAAATCAATCGACAAGGTTGTGAAGTTACATAGACTGAGATGGTTAGGATATGTGTTACGTATTCCTAGTCATCGCCTTCCTCGACGGGCAATGTTAGCTGAAATGGGGTCAGGCCGGAGAAGAGCAAGCGACGGTCAAACCAAAACATGGCTTCACCAGCGAATGAAATCCACAACAGTTAGTTTAAGCCACATAGGAAAGTTCAGACTTCCAGGTTGGGGTCCTCGGGACGGTAAAAACCAATGGTTGGAAACAATTGGTGACATGGCTCAAAATCGTTCTCGATGGCCAGTGCAGATGCATCCACTCCCTGTGACTCATGATTTCCAATGAAACTATATTGTTCTTCGTTATTACTATTCCTTTGTCTCACACCTCTGTTTACTGTCTCTATTATGCACTTCTTCTACTTTCTTCTCTTGCTTTGTGTGCTACATAGAGTGTGGCGACTCGAACTGTCGTACATCAGTGCAAAGCTCTATGTCGAAAACAGACAGATAGTAAACTAGAAGATTTAAATATTACTAGTCAATAAATACCCACCAGAATTTATTCAGAAATGTATGAAGAACCATAGAAGGAAACAAGGTTAATCATGATAATGACA